CTTCCGATCTTTTAACATTAAATATGAAATGTCTTAAATATTCACTTTCCGATAACTTCATCCTAATACTGTGTAGATACAAAAAGTGGACTCAATTATTGTACAAAAAGAAATCATTAAACAAAATAATTGATTATTAAAAAATGTATATAGATATATAGTAGATTTAGTAAATACACAAATATATTTGTTTTTAATAATTAATATGTCATTTAATCTGTTATTCACTCGATAAAATTTTTGAAAATTTAATACTGAGTAGTTTCAGCTTATCTTTTGTGTATTTGAGACGTAATTCAATTATTTTGCTCATTACTAATTAAAAAAAATGTAAATCGAACAATATTTTAATGCAGGAATATACGTTTCAGAATATAATAAAGAACAGGATTATTCTGAATCGCTTCTTTTATATATATATACATATAGATATATATATATATATATATATATGCATGTTTGTATGTATTGCTTAATAATTCTTTTATTAAATTATTGTTGAATAAATAAATTTTACAGACAATCGTAATGTTTATAATTCAAAAGAAATATCAAATGTTGAAAAAGATCATATTGATAATTCTGAATCAGAAGTGACTACTTCACGTAATAATGTGTACAAAAGTAAAGAGATGCTTGTCTGTGAAGAAATTAACGACACTATTACGAACTGTGACGGAGACAACACCCATGATGATGGAAAGATTTATTCTATAGAAGAAGATTTATTTCAGAATAGATATATGGAAGAAGAAATCGAGGATAATTATTTGCAAATGCATCATACTGAAGTAACAATTACTAATGATGAAAAGACAAAATGTGATAATACCATAATGTTTGAAAGCTCTAAAACAACTGTTGATGAAGTTGTGCAAATGATACATAGTTACTGTGTTCGTTTCAATTGTTCGGATGAAGCAAGGTTTGCCCTATTTAAAATGGCAAGTATTTGGGCAGGTCCGAAGTTTTCAAATTTCATGAATTCGAAATATATGATTAGCAAACGTCTGGATCCCCCAGAAGAAATATTTCAATATATATTTTATTGTAGTAAATGTAACTGTTTACTAGATAGATTTTATAGAAAAAATTTATTAAAAACTATTTATCGATGTTGTAAGAAGTGTCAAGAAAAGTATACAATAAAAACTAATTCGTCTAATTGTTTTGTGAGTATAGATGTAAAATATCAACTACAAGTTGTTTTAGAAAATTCAAATATGCGTAAATTATTATTTCGAAATATAAATGATATAGAGAATAGGCTACAAAATAAAAATTTAAATACTATTGTTGATATACACGACGGTGAATTATATAAAAGACTGTACAATAACAAACGCGAAAATACAGTATTATTAACTTTTAATTTTAATTTAGATGGTGCACCTATTTCAAAAAGCAGTAAAAGCTCTATGTGGCCTATCCAATTAATAATTAATGAATTGCCGCTAAAAGTACGATTTAGAAATATATTACTTGCAGGAATATGGATTACAAACCGTGAACCTAGCTCGCAATTTATGAATTTATACATTAATATATTTATCGATCAGATTCGCGATTTGATGACAAATGGTATTATGATAAACCTTGAAAATGATCAAAAATGTCATTTTATATTCCAACCACTTTGTTCATCAGTAGATTCCGTTGCTCGGCCTATAATACAAAATCGCTTTCAATTTAACGGTTATTTTGGCTGTAGTTGGTGCTATCAGTATGGAGAATATTTTAACGATGCCATGCGATATCCTTTCGTGGATAATGATTCACCTTTAAGAGATCATGAATCATATATTAAAGACATAAAGTACGTAGAAAAAATATGTAGACCATTTAAAGGTGTTAAAGGTTTCGCAGAAATTACTCAATTAAAAATTTTTTATTGTGTTTGGGGGTTTCCATATGATTATATGCATGATCTTTTGCTCGGAGTTGTTAGTACTCTATGGATAAAATTTTGAACAAATAATAGAAAAGAAGATTATAATTTATCTAAAAATGATATAAGAAATATCGAAAAACGATTGTTAAGTATCAAAATGCCAAGTGAAATTCACAGATCACCGCGATTATTTAATAGTGGAAAATGAAAAGCAAGTGAATGGAGATCATGGATATTATATCTTAGTATTTGTCTTTTGGGAATTCTAAAAACTAAATATTTAAGTTCTTTTGGGCTTTTGATTCGTTGTACGCATAAACTTTTATCGGAGAGTATAACAGTGGAAGATTTAAAACAATGCAAAATTGATCTTATTTATTTCACAGCACAATGTGAAGAATATTATGGAAAAAGTGTTATGAATTTTAATACTCATTCATTACTTCACGTTGTTGATAATGTATATAAAAGTGGACCACTTCCTTCTACATCGGCTTTTCCTTATGAAAATGGAATTTTTGTGCTAAAGCAGAAATTAACAGGACCAAAAGGAGCTTTATTGCAAATGTCTAAACATTTAATCCAGAAAAGCATTTTAGAAACAGAGTTGTTAGATACATGTGACAATAAACCTTTACAATACTGTAGAAATATTTTGTGTAATAATATGTCGAAAAAAACAAAATTAAAAACCAATTCAGGTGTTATTGTTTTAGCAGAAGATAATAATGTTAATCAAAATATTATACAAATTTGTAATTATTTTGTTAATATAAAGTCAGAAGATATAAAAACTTTTAATAAAGCAATTTATAAAAATATCACGTACACTACAAGTAATTATAAAAGAGAAAAAAAAACGGATGACGGATTTTTTGAAAGTTTAAGGAATGATATTATTGAAATATTCAAAATTGTTTTATATAAAAATGAATGTTATCTGCTAGGATATAAATATGATGTATAGTCTGTCTATTGAGAACGTGATAATCGATTCATTTTTCAAGATAATATCTAAATCCAATGATCTTCATTTATTTACTTAGATCGGAAGAGCACACGTCTGAACTCCAGT